CCCCCCCCCGACTTAAATAATGACTGTTCCCTAATCAAACAACTCCAATATTATCATTCACCAAAAAAAAAGTTGAATGACTTAATAAACCTTACCCTGCTAATATTTCCGCGTTATCTTCAGAGAATGCGATAGAGAAGGCACAGAATCTTCGCAAACGTGGCCTAAAAAAAGACACGAAGACATGTGATGACGTCATGCCCATCCCATTTCATTCATTTCCTCCGAAAAAAAGTTAAATCTTGTCAAACATACTTTAAATCTAAGGCCACATGTGTGCTACAATCACCGTAAATATTACACAGATGAACTGAATAAAAGCAAACAAAATAAGTTAGAGTACAAATATAAATTATTTCAAATATGTTCTGAAAATGCTTATAGGTTTTTCAAGCTAGTGGCCAAGATGTTTCAGACCCGGTTAGCTTAACAAACTTAAAGCTAAAACTTAAGGCGCAGGATGCAATGTTTTTTGAGATAAGACATTTTAGCCGGGTAGAAGATCCTTCCATATGCTCACCCAATTTTAGACTCCTTTCTTTGGTGTCGCTGGTAAAATTTTACAACCTCACATTAAATCATTCCCGTCACAAGGAATGTCACGATATAAATCCATAGAGCAAATTTCGTATGACAAAAAAAACAAAAGATGTCGTCAAGCATGTACTGCATAAGCATTTTAATTGGTTGAGCAGTGATCTCGCGTACAGTGATTGGTTCAAAGGATGTCATCAAGCATGTATAAGAATTTTTATTGGTTGATAGTGGTCTCGCATGCTGTGATTGGTTCAAAGGATGCCGCCAAGCATGTATAAGAATTTTCATTGATTGAGCAGTGCGTTCTTTCGTACTGTGGCAGCACCTGCCTTTGCCCTTTTAAAATCATGAGAAATCTCTCTTTTTCTATGGATGCTTTAGGACAAGATTCATAAGTGATTCTTGATTCTTCGTGAAACTTCTATCGAGATACAAGTTTAAGTTACAAAAAAAAAGTAGTTCTACCCTTGGTGAACTATCTCACCAAAGGAGCAAACGGCGTATATCTTTCCGTGCTGGTACTTGTCTAACATCATATAGATGTAGTCTGCCCATTAATCCAACTACATGTACTTACTATAGTCTGACCAGCTGGAATAGATAAGAAAGTGTTGATCAGGGCTGCAACACAAATGGAATACAAGTCAAAAACCTGAACATGACAGGTAATCCAGAGTTGGGGGGGGGGGGGGGGAGTAACGACTCCACTCTTCAATCATTGAGTTAACCATACCCTGACTTAGATCAGCCCAGAGGTTGTTTCAGGGTTTGATCTGTGAATTAGCCGTACCCTGACTTAGATCAGCCCAGAGGTTGTTTCAGGGTTTGATCTGTGAATTAGCCGTACCCTGAATTAGATCGCCCAGAGGTTGTTTCAGGGTTTGATCTGTGAGTTAGCCGTACCCTGAATTAGATCGGCCCAGAGGTTGTTTCAGGGTTTGATCTGTGAGTTAGCCGTGCCTTGACTTTGATCAGCCCAGAGGTTATTTCAGGGTTTGATCTGTGAGTTAGCCGTACCCTGACTTAGATCAGCCCAGAGGTTGTTTCAGAGGGTTTGATCTGTGAGTTAGCCGTACCCTGACTTAGATCAGCCCAGAGGTTGTTTCAGGGTTTGATCTRTGAGTCAGCCATGCCCTGACTTTGATCAGCCCAGAGGTTGTTTCAGGGTTTGATCTGTGAGTTAGCCGTACCCTGAATTAGATCGGCCCAGAGGTTGTTTCAGGGTATCGTTAAAATTTGACGTAGTAAGTTTGGTAAAAGAAGGATCTCAAAGAGATTACAGAAATGATTGACTATTCCTACCTAAATGCAGTATCTATGATACTCCATCCAATATCCCGAGCATGAATGCTATGGAAGTTATAGAACCTTCCATGTGTCGTGTCAAATAGTCGGATGTACTCATCTGTATGGCGAACAACATAACACCAAGTTAGACTTAAGGTTATCTTAATAAGTTTATATCACATGTATATTAAGCGTGCCTGTCTCTGTCCTCTGATAAAAACACAGTATTTTAACCAGCCAATCAGCGAGCATGTTATATTTGAAAAATATAACAATAAATAGAGGATATTACATGGACGCGCGGAGATACGAATTTTATCTTCGAGTGTTCATTGATATCTCACGAGTGAGTGCAGAGAACAAGTGAGATATCTAAATTGAACTCGAAAAGATAAAATTCCTATCTCCAAGCGGCCATGTAATGTTCTGTTTATTATATAGATATCGATGAAACTTAAGAATAAAACAAAAGCTCAAAAATTCTTTATTAAAATACCTTACTATGTCAACAGCGATATCTTCACGTGTGAAAGATATGGTATCTTCCACTGGTGAAAGATATCAAGTTTTCGACACTAGAGAAAACCTAGAATTTCACCAATATCTATATAATAATATTAATTATATTATGAAGATTATTTGAAATCTTCAGTTTGTTAAAATCTCAACTAATACTAACCTTGACATGCCGAAAGGAATACCGTCCCATCCCTGGAGTAGGTGCCACAGAATGCCTTTTGCCCATACTTGGCTTTTATCTTTACAGTGTTTGGCAGATAACTGTAGAATATTATATATCATATCAAATAAATAATGGAATAATAAATTTGGGGTTTTCATTCAGTTTTGGAATAACAGCAAACAATCATGAGCTGCTGCAAGAAAGAGAAACTAACTTTGAACTTGCAAGGGCTCTGTTTCCGTAGGAAAATTTCTGCTTTGGTAGCTTTCCTGATTCTCTCTGACAAAAATCAAAATCATAGAAATATGTTACTAATCACATTAATTAATTCAAGTCTGTTGGGTTAAAAAATATTCACACTTAATCTCCTCACAATTCTCTTCTCAGAGGATTTATTCATAACCTTCTGCCCTGCAGAAGCTCCAGCAAGAAGGCATGACATTACCAACATGTACACACTCTGGAAAAAATCCCTAAAATATACAAGGACTTTATAGGATACTGTAGCTTATTGACAGATCAAAGGGTAGAGACAAAACAAAGAGAGATCCCCTGGTCCTCCAGGTTGAGGTTTGGTGCAGTACTAACGAACCTACCCTGTAAAAATGTAGTATCACAGAAAACAGAAACACTATGAATACAACCCGAACTGTGAGTGCTGCAGTTTAATAGTGCAATGAGTTTGGTGCTGGACTAACGAACCTACCCTGTAAAAATGTATTGTCACAGAAAACAGAAACACTATGAATACAACCCAAACTGTGAGTGCTGCAGTTTAATAGTGCAATGGGTTTGGTGCAGGACTAACGAACCTACCCTGTAAAAATGTAGTGTCACAGAAAACAGAAACATTATGAATACAACCCAAACTATAAGTGCTGCAGATGAATAGTGCAAAGACCTTATGTGATTTGACCTGCTGCAAGGAATCATGATGATGATGATGGTGACATGACTAGCTTAATTACCATTTTAAGCTGTGTTAAGACATTTCTCTTTTTGTTCTGTGTCTGACCACTTGAGATCATTACTTGTTGCTTTATGTCACTCTCCTGAAACCACATTGTAAATGCCATAAATGAATACAGTGGAAGCTTTTTTAATACCTCAGCTATAAAATACATACAAACACCTCTACATCCATATTATAGAAAGACATTTAGGTTCTGGCAGAATCACCATATATTCTTTATTTCATACACTCTTTGAACACCTCTATATTAAGGACAGCTCTATATTTAGGACACACCTCTAGTACAGACACCTCTATATTAAGGACACACTTCTAATACAGACACCTCTATATAAAGGACACTTTTTTCTGGCACTTTGGTGTCCATAATATCCACCATACACTCGATAAACACCTCTATATTAAGGACACCTCTATATTGAGGACACACCTCTTGTCAAGACAGCTACCTTTATATTAAGGACACACCTCTAACACAGACACCTCTATTGATGGTTTTCAAGGTGGYCATGTTGGAGGAACTTAACAAAAGAATTGTCAATGAATTCTTTTGTTATATCCTCCAACATGGCTGCCGTGTCTTTTGTTATTTAATTCTCTTGGGAATGATTGAAAACCATCAATATAACAGACACTTTTTTCTGGCTCTTTGGTGTCCATAATATAGAGGTTCCACTATTTAAGGTAACCAGTTTTGAATAAATTATATGTGGTGTTCCTCAAACTATTTCCCWTTTTTTTTCTTTCTTTTTTTTTTTCTTTCTTTCTTTTTCTCCTTCTTTTTTCTTTTTTCTCTTTCTCTATTTTTTTGTAATTGTTAGAGACATACCTCAAGCTTACTTGTGTCTATCATTGAATCTAAAAWTGATAAAAAAAATTGTTAGAAATCAAAAGTTAACCCAGAAGAAACATACATACAAAATCCTGAAATATGTTTCCCTTAAACATATTTATTTCTTAAGACTGTCTAGTAAGGGCTCACGCAGCCTAGTAAGGGCTCACACTGTCTAGAAAGGGCTCACACAAATTCACACTGAACTTAACAAGTTCAATACCAACTTAGAAATTTGCGAACAAACTTCAGAAATGGAGTGGCCGAAGTTTTGTGATTTCCTGTAATTCAATGCAAAAGACTTCTTTCCCTTCATATGCAAATTGCCCATTTCAGATCACATGACATTCCCTCGAGAATTGTTCTTTTATGACGAACTTGTTAAAATATTAACATATGAAAGAATGATAACTTGCAAAAGTGGCATCACATGGTCTGTAATGAGACAACAAGCAACGAAGGTAAAGAGGACCATTAATCAAGCTGTCACCTGGTGGGTTAGGTAAATCTTTTTGTTTGTATGCACCAGTGAATAAAAGATCATCTTCATCACTTTCATCATCATTCTCATCTGAATCTCTTCCACCTTGTACAATATGAATACCACCACCCAAGGACTGGGGTGCTCTGATGAACTGCACATGACCGCTGATGACAATAAAGCAATCAATTTTTAATAATGTGACGTTCTTTATTATTCATATTATTATTCAACAGAAAGCTATTAATTTTGACCAGGACCCATAAAATACATTACACGGTCTGATTTTTAATCTTCATAGTGGCATGGACTAAAGAGTGTAATATACCCCTTGCATGTGGCTTCAAAGGAGCTCGTTCTGGGGGGACAAAACAAAAGTATTCTAATCTCCTGAGAATTGGAACCTATTGCTTTGTCCCCCAGACGAAGCTGCATTCCAAAGTGCTGCGAGGGATCTATAAGCAAAGTTAAGGCTTTGAAGCAGGTATTTCACAATGTTAAAAAGACTTCATTAGCTTGGCACTGGTGAAATATTTTCCCTTTTCAGACCACATGACATTCTCTTGAGAATAAGATTCTTTGTGTGAGTTGTATCCATATATTCATGGTCTTCTCATGCATAACCGTTAAACAAAGAAATGATACCCTAAAGAACGACATATCATCTAAAACAGGAAAAACTTATGTGCAAGCTGAAGAGATCTATTATGGAGTGAAATACAATTCTCAAGAAAAGGCACTAGTGTTAGACCTTGACTGATATGTCAAATCTTCATGACACATTTAAAAACAGCATTCACTGCGTAGCAACACATACATGAAGGGAAATGAACAATGACGAACTAACTTCCCAGTTAATTAAAGTGCAAACAATTAATCCATGAAACATTAATTACTAAATAGTACAAAATAGTGCTAATTAAACGATAGAAAACAATGGAATTTGCATGAAATTGTGCTATTTAGTATTACTAAAGTTTCAGGGTTAGAGTGCAAACAATATAACCGTGAAACTTTATTAATACTAAATAGCACAATTTCATGCAAATTCCATTGTTTTCTATTGTTTGATTAGCACTATTTTGTACTATTTAGTMATTCGTGTTTCACGGATTAATTGTTTGCACTCAATAGTGTTTGCACTCTAATAATCATATAACAACATTAGCCTATAATAATAAATAGATCACACCTTCTTAGCAAATGAGATAGTACCCTAACCAAATCTGGTTCTTCACCACCAGAATCAGTATCAGGTGAATCATTATCTTGATTAGTGTTGGTATTGGAAGCTATGTTCCTTGTGTTTCGACTTCCCATCTTGAATGGAATCTCCTAAAACCCTTTCACGTGGTTCAAAAAAACAAAATATTTTGACTCAAAACTTTTTCAAATCGCAAATAACACTTGACAGTTAGAAAGAAGAGTTATCTCCGTATCCTGAAGGGCCAAATACTTTGTGTTTTTTTGTGTAGGAAGGATGATTTATCGACAGAAAACAGAGAAGTTTTTCTAGATTTTAGGGCCAAAGTTTGGATGTTTTTTGTTGTCTTGCGCATGGCCCTCACGGTTAGGCTCAGCTGTTCTAAGCCTGGAAACTAGTAGACCCCAGACCACCGCGGTATAGTTTTTTTGAAGAAGACAATATGGCGAACAAAATTCTTTCAAAAAAGACTACGAATAAATGGGCTATTGACTTGACTGGGAGGTAGGTACCGCTAAAATAATACTCTTACAGTATAGAATACTCATCCAGCTTAGTACTGAGAGGTATTTTGTGTGTTTTCAGGCCCAAGTATGTCCCTGATCGGCAGTTTCAATTATRCGCGTCTGACCTACCAGCACCTCTTGGTTACACTGAGAATCGCGTACAACATGTAAGAAGCCAGTTTGGACGAAAATATTCCTTGATTCTTGAAGAGTTCTATAGATATGATATCTTATATTTGCTCTTCTGTATTATAGGAACCTAGGGACTTGAATAGCACGCATCTTGTGGCGAAGGTTTGTGTTAAACTTGCTTTCATCAAAATAAGAAGATTGACCATACACAAAAGTTTACATTCATTTTTTACTGACCCTCCCCACTAAAGTCCCAGCCCTACCCCCAGTATAAAGCGTATCTCCTCGAAACAAACTCTGAAACATTTTCTTATTGCTTTTGCTTTCTTATTTCTTTTTAATGTCATTTATGTGGGATATTATAATTACAGAAAACATGGGACATTGCTCTGGGTCCCTTCAAACAGATCCCGATGAACTTGTTCATAATGTACATGGCTGGTAATTCCATCTCTATCTTCCCCATTATGATGGTTGGAATGATGTTTCTTCGACCTGTCAAAGCATTGTTGGCCATTAAATCAAGTGAGTTTAAAATCCTTCGCAACATAACCCAGGGAGGGGGGAGTCCACTTCAACTTTTTGGATATTTGAAAAGCAAATAAGATAACTTAGGTCTTTCAGCTGAATATCATAGGTATAGAGGCTATGCACCATCGACTGATAGAAGCCATGACTGGAGGCACAACAATGGAGCATTTTTTTCCTTGGGAAAGTGAATTCTTTCTCAGGTAAATCACATTAGACCAGATTTAATTGTTCCTGCCTCCTGTCATGGTTGCCATCACATGAAGGTGCATAGCCTCTATAGTACAACAAATATTGACTGCAAATAGTAAAATGTTAGAAGAAGGAATGATAACGGAAATTCCAGAGATAATTTTTGAATTTAGACATGGAAACTCTGTGCAGTAATCAAGCACAAACAAAATGATTAAAGCACAAAAGAAGAAAAGCACAATGTGTCAATAAAAATACATTGCGATCTTCTATGCTGTTTTCTTATACTTTTCTGAAAAGCAGATAACTGTGCTCTGTTCTGAAATACAGCACTGTTCTTGACCAATTATATTGATCATAAAACATTACTAACTTACGTGTACTATTTTGTACCACAGCTTATAAAGCAATTGAAGGAGATCATGACAGTGCTTACCTACAGAAAATAATCTATTTCCTTGGCAACCTGAGCCTTGTTATCTTGGCGTTGTACAAGTGTCACTCCATGGGGTTACTACCCACAGCTACATCTGATTGGTTAGAATTTATGGAACGCAAAACGGTATGTATTCTCATGCTGTTGACAGGTGGTGTGCATCCCTTTTCATCAGAATAAAAGGCAAAAAGATGTTTTTTATGTGTTCAAATTCTTTTTATCTCTGCAAGCGGCACAAATCAACAAACGAGCCTGCATAAGTGTGCCTTATTCCCCTGTAGGTGAATATAACAGCATAAGACGTAAATTGTGATCAATGAGCACGCAGGATTTATGATATTCATTTGCATAAAAATACTAACACCATACATACACCTAATTGAAAAAATGTAGTTGGGTTCTAGAAGGTCATATCATCGAAGCTAAGACCGAAAAGGATTTTGGGTACTCCAAAATGTGTCTTATATTTGCATATAGACATGTAAAAATGCACAGTAGAGCAAAGGCAGTTGACCTAGATTAACAACATGCCAAAGCCATGATGCATAAAATGTGCACAGGAAGGGAAAACTGCAATACGCATGAAATTAGCGTAATTGTTTGTCTTCCCGTGCTCCCCTTCGGTCTTAGCTTTGATGATATAACCTTTTTTTGAACCCGACGTTTTTTCAATTAGGTATATAAGGCATTTAAACAAAGATGTTTGTACCCAAGTTTGACCACAATGCATCATGGTACCTCAAACACATGTGCACCTAGATAATTCCATATTCAATAGTTTTGAGGTCTTATTATTTCTTGTTATTTTGTTTATTCCAGAGACCTGAATTTAGTGGTGGTGGTATTGTGTTATAGAGCGTTTACACACACGTGACAAGGCAGCCATATTGGTGTACCAAACAATAGAAACTGTCTGCACAGTTTTTGCATAAAAATAGAGCTCAATTCCCAGATAGAAAATGTATTGTTTTGGTACACCAACATGGCCACTGTGACGTCACATGAAAACACTCTACAGAGGCTAGCCATCAAGAAGTTATCTCTTAAAGACATGACGCTAGCCATCAAGAAGTTAACTCTTAAATACTATTCACTGCATACTATCAGTGATGCTTTCCAATGAAACATTCATATTCAGTTAATATGTAACTAGTTCGATTCTCTCTCCTCAAAGCTGTGGTGGGTCCAGCACATACAATGCTAGGGTGATTACCACCATATAGGTATGTGGGTTGATCTAACAGCAGTCATAAAAACCCTATATATATACCACTGATTCTTTATCATTTAAAATACCAAAAAATAATATGAAGTATTTATACATGTACGCAATAAAAATATGGTGGTCAATTTAGATAGCTATTGTGACAGACTGACTAGCCCCGCTAACATGTAAAAAAAGGCTAGTCAGTCCAGAACCAATAGTTATTCAAATTGGTCACCATTATTATTTCAAATTGGTGTATAATCATTGAGAGCTGAAGATGAACAAAGAGAAATAAAACTGGCTTAATAATGACTTGCCTCTATTTAATACAGGTTACCAATACATTCATGTCGATTCTCATTGCATCTGTAATGGTTTAATGTCGATGGTGTGTAAAACGTTCATGAGACAGGGTTGTACTGGCTCTGCCTGTGTTGCCTGGTACAACCACTAAACAATGGAGGATAGTTCATTGATACAATTTAAAAGGTTTAAAATTGTACAATTTATTTTTTATTGTATAATATACATATATATATATATGCAATAAGTACATCGTTAATAATAATATCATTACAAGCTATACCTTGGCATGGTATTGTCATTTGATTTGATGGAGTGCATACCATATATCCCTGAAAAAGTTAACTAACAAATGTCTACTGAACTTACAAATTTGTGCAATTTCTTGAAAATTTTTGGTTTGTACTCTACTATCATTACAATGTTTTACTCTTATTTGATTTCATATTTCTATGGCAACACTACCTGTACATCATGTGTTTAGGTATCATAACTACACTCTAACCGTAAACACTCCAGTTTATTTTATTTTATTYGTGTAAATATACTTTTACTTTTTCTTTCTTTTTTCATCATTTCATCTCCTTGAATAGCTTTCATAGACTTTCAATACTAGCCTCACTTGCAACCATTTTAGTCTTTTTCAATACATGTAACTCAAATTCTATTGTTTTCAATTTGTAATCTCATTGGTTGACAAACTTAAGTGTTCAATAAGCCAAGCAATGTTGGTAGCATTTGAATTAGGATCAGACTACTGTAGCTTTGGAATTAAGGTTTTTTAAAAAATTATATTTTTTTGTGTGATAGTGTAAGACTGTTTGCAGAAGCAAAAGAATAAGTTTGGATTTCTTATAAAATAAAAGTTTGTCTGGACCATTTTTCCTTCCCTCTGCTTTGAAGCATAACTGGATAATGTAACCAGGAACTCACCCCTCTTACAATTATATCAACCAATAATAATCTGGCAAGAAAACAAAGCATTTGAACTTGAGCCAATCAGAAGCCAACAACTTATGCTGTAACATAATTGGCTGAAAATTCTGTTCTATTCTGATTGGCTCTAGTTTTGCAAAACCATGAAAATTTTATATCCTTATCAAGCACTTTCAGCTGGTTGTGCTTGTTGTTTCTGTTGTTTGATGTATGATGATTCTCCTGGTTCATCATCAATGTGGTTATACAATGGGAATTCACAGCAGAAGAGTGCCTTGATAATATTGCCAAGGATGGCATAGAAAGGAGGAGGCAGAGGGATCAGAGGACTGGTGTTTTTCTTGTAGATCCTGTAGGTTGTAAGACTACAAGGCAAAGAGAACATATACAATTAGTACCTTGGCAAACTATTAAATAGACATCAAATGTGCAAATCGCTGAAACAATTAGCACCTTGGCAAATATAACAGACTGACATCAAATGTGCAAATTGCTGAAACTGGTTTGCCTCTACCAAAATTCTCTAAATAGTACAAAAGAAATGCATGCCCCATTACCTGCCATAGCGTTCATCAGCCTTCTTCTCCAGTAGTGGTATTCCACTCAAAAACAACAGAATAGCCATAAGGAAAAGGGGGCTCAGTATTGCTGCCCATTCACCTTTCTCCAGTATGCTACAGCTGATTATAAATATACCCCACCAGACCAACATCTCACCAAAATAATTGGGATGACGAGACCATTTCCAAGGACCTACAGCACACCATTTTCCTCTGTTTTCCTGTATTATTAGATTTAATCAAAAGTTTGGTTAAACATAAAAGAGTTTTTGCTGCAATACATTACAATACAAGTTTATTTGCTCATATTTCAAAATTTGTTACAAAATTGTTGAAGAAACGGCAGTCATGTTTGTTTGGAGGGACAATAATGAAATGATTTTTGAGATTGCATTGTTCGCACATCCAACATCAGGCCTGTAGGCGTTGGGAGGGCAAATGCAACCCCTGGTCTACTCATCATTACAATGTTTGTTTTTTAAATGTAAATTTACTTCTTCACTAGTTACTCACCATGTTTTTTCTACAACACACCCCCATCCCTGTCAGAAGTTTGTGCTATAAACCTGAACAGGTGCAGATCSAGAGGGGTGCAAAGGGGGACTGTAGAGGGTGGATCCAGAATTTTGTTCAGGGAGGGGTGCTGCACACAATGTTAACCCTGGGAGGGGTGCACCCCTTAGAATCAAAGAGAAAAAACAGCATTGGTTTTCTTCGAAGTAGGGGCACAAAGTCAAACCAGGGAGGGGTGCGCACCCCCTGCACCCCTCCCCTGGATCCGCCCCTGCTTTGACATGCATTATATACAGTATTAGTCTTTATGCTTTCATTCCAGCCACAAATCCTGAATATATACTTACTGGATTATTCCTAAAGCTAAACTTTATCTGATCAGACACAGCTTCCAGGATAAGTCCAACTCCAAATATAGCAACCCCAACATAGTCCAATGTACCAAGACCTTTCGCATTCTTAGGAAGCGGAGCATTAATCATGATGACTGACAAGCTCACAGTAAACACCCAAACAGCTTGGAAGATCCAGAAACCAGCAAAGGCAAGACAGTTTTCCCTCTTGTCGTCAAAACGCCTGTCTTCTCCAATCTTTATGATGCGATAAAGTAGGTAGCCTGACAGTCTGATTCCCCACACAATCACGCATACAGTCACCATTATCTGTCGGTCATGGTATGTCTATAATAAAATACATAACATACTATTGGTTATCATAAAGAGATATTTTTGGTATTAGCAGTGTATTAATCTTAAAATTTGCATTAAACCCTGAAACAACCTCTTGGCTGATCAAAGTCAGGGCATGGCTAACTTACAGATCAAACCCTGAAACACCCTCTGGGCTGATCAAAGTCAGGGCATGGCTAACTCACAGATCAAACCCTGAAACACCCTCTGGGCTGATCTAAGTTAGAGAATGGCTAATTCACAGATTGATTTGAACTTTGCTTGTTAGATTTTGTGGAGAGAGGAGAGACTGAAGGACCTAAAGAAAAATCCCTCGTATTATTAAGAAAGCACCCTTGTTACTCATATGACATCCCACCTCTGGTCAAATTGGGGTTCAAATAATTATTTAATGAGCATCAATATTATGACAACCTTTGTCAGCCCTAGTGTTGCCATTAATACACCTAACAAAGATAACTATACTAGGCAGATCCAGGGAGGTGGATTTAAATTTGATGACACCACCCCCTTTAGAGACAGAAGATTTATAAGAATAAAGAATAAGGTAAAATTTCAAGAGAATACTATGTTATAACACTTTTCCATTTCAGGTATATTACTGCTATTGCACACCCTCAGTAAGAAAATCAAAAAATAGTAACTGCCCTCTCCCTCCATCGTCCATTTTTTTTTTTTTTCGTTTGATCTGTAATTACTACGTTCTCTGTTTATAAGAAGATTCTGAGCAAATATACCGTATCTGGAGCCGCCAAAGTCAAATTTAAACGGCGAAGAGTGTGAATATGAGCAAAGTTATATAATCTTTGAAAATAACCTTTGAAAATTACAAACAGAAACGTAAAAAATGCTCAAAAACCGACTGTAAAAATATAAGGGTCGATGAACCTTACAGAGGTAGTGTCAACTAAAATGAATAGATTTACTAAAAAAACAAGTAACATGGGGTAGTATAATCAATTGATCACCTGTCCTAAACAGAAAGTCAAAATGGCAAGGAGCACAAAGTTCGTCCCTCCAGCAAAATCGGTCACTTTGTCAAATTTACAAGTGGCAGCAACGATGAAGAAAGACGTCTGCATAGCGACAGTAACGATGGCACAGATAGCCAGGTACCGTTTGTCTAGTACCTCGATCATGGCTAAGTACTTTGAAAGGATGCTAAAAATATGCTGTAGATCGCTGTAGAAATTCTACAATATGTAAACCAAATTTGCACGTTACGTAATATAACACCTTCATGTGGACACGTGACACAGGGAGCCCATAAACTAAAAAAATAATAATAAAAGCTAATTTTGTTTTATACTTGTCCAAAAAATAAATAAAAAACAATTTGGTAAAGATGGTTTATTAGGAAATATGAAAGTAAACTTTTTAAATGGAATGTATTTTAAAGGTGACAAAGAAAGAGTTAGAAGTAAATTTATGCATGATTACTATGTCAGGGTTACTTTGATCTTTTTTTTGGTTTTTTTTAATTAACACCTAGCGCAAATTATTTTAGAAAATTAACAATGGTAGTTCAGTAGTACTTATTAATCATCATCATTATCAACATTTTCACTTCATCCAGTATAACAGCTGCTAACCTGTGTGCACAATGCCCTAAAGCAATGTACTTCATAAAGTCAAACTACACCTGCATACACACGTATACAACTAGAAAAAAAAAAAAATCTTGTTTTGGTTTTATAATCTTTTGGATAATTTTACAAAAATTTATTGCAAGACATTTATGAATTAAAAGTATCCCACATGTAAAGTATGGAAGATTTTTTCTGTAAAAAGTGTGACTAATAATTTTAAAACAAAGAAATCAATTCAGGTGGAAAGAAAGCTTTATTAAGGCTATGCACTTTACATATATTGAATGCTTGTTTATCAGCTTG